AGGAGTTTAACAGCCTCTGGTCAAAAGGCCCTTCCTGACGCAGCAAAAACCTCCCGCAGACGGAGTGGGTGCAGGATTTAACTTCCCTTTGGCTCCTGCCACAGCACCCCGGGCTCTGCCGTAGCTGCAAGCGGCCACCAACACCCGGGTACGGACAAGGCTCAAAGGGAGACAGGTCTCTAGATGGAGGACACGAGCAAGAAGTCTGCAGGGCTGGTGGGATCGCTGCAGCCACAGCTCAGAGGTCACATCCATTTCTCCCCCTCTGCCTCCCCAAATTTCAGGGCTGTGGAGTGCAAAGATTCCCCTCTGCATTGGCCTCAGCATGGCACCACGAAAGCTGGTGGTGGTTTCAAGGTTGAATCCGCTAAACTGGCACAAAAGAGAAAAAAAAACCACCACGAAGGCGCAATTCCGCTGCAGCATTGCTTGTGTCAGCTCTGCCCCACTTCCACTTACGGTATCAAACACTTTAAGGTGGCAAAGCCAGAAGCACCCACGCAGGGATCGTGTATGCAGCAAGACGGGTTCAAAACCGACTGACAAGCAAAGGCAGACGTGTCCTGCCCTTGGCCAGAGCCCAGGGGGTTCCTCTTGGAGATAGGGGTGCTCCTTGTGCAATGAGGACCGGCCCTCTTCTTCATGCATCAAGCATTTAGAACGCTCAAGGTTGGAAGGGACCTCTAGAGATCATCCAGTCCAACCCCTGCACACGCAGGGTCACCTAGAGCACGTGGCACAGGGCTGCGTCCAAGCGGGTTTGAAGATCTCCAGAGAAGGAGACTCCACAACCTCTCTGGGCAGCCTGTTCCAGTGCTCTGGCACCCTCACTGTTAAAAAATTTTTCCTTAAGTTCATGCGGAACTTTTGGTGCTTCAGTTTGTGGCCATTTAACAAGGGCATGAGCTGCAGCTTTCCAATGCTGCTTCGAGTCAACCCCAATGCAGGTGCCTGCATTTCTCTCAGCTCACGAAGGTTCTGCAGCAAGTACAGGCCATTCCACTCTGTGGGCAGGCCTAGCCTAAAGAAACCCACTTGCCCCTGATCAGTGGCTTGGCTTTCAGGTCCTTTGGACTCCCAGTGCCAACAAAACACTGTTCCCTGAGCATTTATAAGAGGGAGCCCTCCGCAGAGGAAGGAAGACGATGAGAAGTTTTGCTTTAAAGTTATCAGTGAAACATCACAGCATCTTTCCAGGCTCCTTCTGCCAGGAGGCCAGGACACCCAGCTGGGAATCAAGAGCCTCCTGCAAAGATCAGCTTTTGCCCTGGCATTTCCAGGACAGGCCTGCACCTGGTTTGCAGGTAGATAACAGAGTCAAACTACGGTGTGAGGAAAGCATGGTCCCTCCTGCTGTTACTGCATGGGAAAAGCAGAGAGCTGCGGAGAGAGCAAGGCAAAGACCCCTTTGCAGACAGCCATGCCACCATCACGGGGAGATCGGGATGGACTGTCCCCCTTTCTTATGTACCTTCAAGACAGATCTGTGCCTTTAGCTGGAAACCCTCAAGAAGGCAGTACTGGAACTGGCTTTAATGAAGAAAGGGGATTGATTTACAGCCCCAGTTTTGCCCCTGCTTGTGCACCAGGTGCTGGGAACTTTGCAAATTTTGCTTCATTTATGCAAGGTGTGCCCAGGATCTGGGTACATTTATTGTTTTAAGCAGCCTTTGGAACAAATCTCCTAGGCTGGGCTTTGTAAACAAGGGAAGGAGCGTAGCTGGCACAGCCCTGCCACCCCTGTTGCTGCAGCAGAGCCCCAAGGGCAGCGAGCTCTGATGGCTGCAGCACCCCCGACATCATCCCAGCACTGGCAACTTAACCACAGTGATGGAGAGCAACTCCTTCCAAAGCCTCCATTACCCCAGAGCACCCCTGCATCTCCTCAGGGTCTTGGGTGCTGGTCACACCTTGCTCTCATTCAGCAGCAGGGCTGTTAGGGACTGGGACACAGCCCAAAGAAACATCACAGATGGCACATTCATGTAGGACAGGGCTCTGGGCAGAGCATGAGAGAGGTGGGAGGTGGAATCTGAAGGCAAGTTTCAACCCACTGCTTGCACAGAGGCTGCTGGGGTGTGCAAAATGCCTGGCCATTCCCACGGCATGAGATCCCAGGGCGCACACATAGAGCAACCTCCCTCTCTTCCCCATCTGGGGCAGGAAGGAATAAAGATCACCCTGTCCTGAGGCTGCTTGGGCAGAAAAGACACACATATTGTCTGAATCCTGAGACCTTTAGCTGTTTTGCCCTTGGAGGAGCGCAGCTCAGCCCTCTCCACCCAGCCTGGCACTCGGGAGCAGCTCGATGCTGTCAGCGCAGTGCCGAAAACCTGCCTGCATTGTCTGGTGCTGAATTGCATCACTTGAAATCCCCCTCCCTCACGCTGCAAGCTCACCTTCTGCTCGAGCATCCCTTCTGCATACAAAGCCACAATCCATAAATGAATAAATAAATAAAACAGCCCATGGAGCTGGACAACAGCTTGCTCCTTCAAGGAGGAGCTGAGAAAGAGATGAAGCTGCCCAGGTCCTCATCAGGATACTGCAGCCCCACTGCAACACCGGCAATCAGTGGTCCCGTGGAGGGGAGCTCACGCATTTGAGTCACCTCCCACTCGTGACCTCTCCCACGCCGCTTGCAACAAACAATCTGTGACCCCATTGCTGGCACCAAGGGCTGGAACAAAGGCCTCCAGCGCTGCAGCACCCACGAGAGCTCCTGGGGAAAAGGGACTCCCAGGCTGGAGTCGGGTCTTTTGTTAAAAGGCTCCATCCTGAAAGAAAGGCAGGATGGAGGATGGGAAGGGTCTGGCCAGCAGGAAATCTCCACCTCCCCACTCCAGCATCCTTTGGTTCCCAGGTCAGTGTCCTGGCACGGACACCCCCCTTGCCGGCTCTGCTCCCCGCTGGATCCACAGGAGGCCCCTGGTCATGTCGTGGGCAGCTCCCCCAGATTTGCAAACACTGAAGAACCTGATTCCCATTTTCTGCCTTTTGAACAGAGCAGGGCAAAAAAAAAAAAATCACCTCCTGCTTCCAGGATAAGAAGGCTCAAAGCACAGGCAGCGCTGGGAGGTGTCTCAGGGCACTCGCACACACGTATGCAGCAGTGCTTGCAGCCCCACTCCCCCTCCGTCACCGACTGCACTGAGCATCTTTTGTGCTCTTGCTCTACCCAAGCAGGCAGGGACCAGCCAGAGCAATGCCACCTGCAAACCTTCTTTCCTATATTAATGAAGATTCCCAATGTCCTTCCCACCTGCCTTATGCTAGAGCCTTTCTGGACCGTGGACAGCAGGACACTGCACCCCTTTGCGCTCCCATCAATCTGTCAGGAAAGCTGGTCCTGCACGGGCACCACTGCAGCCCCATAGCAGGAGAGAAGGGAAGAGCAGCTGGATGGGGAGGTTGGGGTAAATCTGTCTAGAGGCTCCCTAGGCGGTTTGGGGAGGCCTAATCCTTCCCTCTTGCCCCTCTAACACCTTGCAACGGAGCACTGGGGCCGCAGCATGCTCACATGTGCCCAGAATAAACTGGGCTGACTCAGCAGAGGCATGGGGTGAGACGGAGGAAGCCACGGGCTCCTCTGCACGCTGGCTGCCGCGCAGGACAAGCCTGGCCGTGGCAGACGGGCACCCCGCTTTCCTGCTGGGCTTTGGCTGTACACACTCTCCCTGGCAGCTGCTTCCCCCTCTCCAGCCAGGGACTATCCTTGCCCTCCTTCCGCCTTCCTTGGCGGGGAGGAACAAAGAAAACGACACTCCGGGCTCCCAGACTCGAGTGACTGCGCTCAGAATACACCCAGCTCGGTACATCCTTAACAAAGAGCCTCCAAAATCTGGCCCCGAGGTTCATTCATACCTGCAAAGAGTGAAAGCGATGACAGATCTGCCCCACTGGCCACTACCCACATCAGGGCCCTGTTTCCCCCTGCAGCCCCCAGAACAGCACACAGGTTACATGCCCCTGGCAGCGCCTTCATTTGGGTGCAGGATCTAGCAGGCTTTTTGTTCCCAACCCAGAGACAGCACAAAGGACACCGAGATGCCGCATTGGCCACTACCACATACACAAGCAGCCACCCCCCCTGCTTCCCCTCCCCCTCTCCGCCTCCAAATCAGCCTGTACTTGACACCCCTGCGTGTCAAACCCACGCACGACACAGCCATGAAGCGCCGAGGGGCAGCACTGCAGGGAGAGCTCAAGGTGAACGGGCCCCAGGGCCCTGCAGGGACGCAGGGGGTCCCCAGCCCCGTCCCCAGCCCGGCCACCGCCCCTTGCCCAACGCTGCAGGAGGGAACCGGGCCCCGGGCAGAGCGGGAGCGCCGGGGAGCCGCGCAGGGACCGCGGTGACGGGGGTGGCCGAGGCAGCCCCGGAGCAGCGCGGAGGAGGAGGAGGAGGAGG